AAAAAAAAAAAACAAAACGCGCCCATATTTTAGCTGCATGTAACAACTCAGACCCAGTTCAGGATATTCTGAAAAATTATACCGACAGGCCAGAATCTCTGGTGGACAAGTTACAACTATATTGGCCACTCGCCATATGCAAGAGGATAAATAAGGGTCCACAAGGGTATATGAAAGCCAATTAATGACGTTTACACATGTCACAATTACAAAGCTGCTAAGGTTTTCACCTTCTGGGATATAACGCCGTGTAGTCCGTTGAAAGTTGACCTACGTTTTGGAGTCATCTACTTCAAGTAGATTTCTTGCTTTGCTTATTCTTTGAATCTCAAGATGGAGGCAACCAGTGCCTCCAAAATGTCGGTTGATTTTCAGCAAACTACATAGTATTATATCTCACAAGATAGGTGTTCATTCGCCAGTGGGAAATTGAAAACACACTAATTTCCTAATTTTCTCACTAAAAGGCAATGTGTGTGTGTGTGATGTAAATGCACTGTGTACAGTACTATGGAATTATATTAAAACAAATTACTTTTATTGACTGCAATCTTATTGTTCTTTTCATTACAAATAATACTTTTCAAATATGTTCACCCTAATTTGCAGTAATGATTCAATTCGCTTCATTTGAAAATTTTGCTTGGTAAAGGTATACCAACTTCTGCATGCCTAGGAATCTTTATACTGAGAATTTCAATGCAAAAGGTGCTTTATTTTTTGTCGACTCCTGTTAACATGCCATTTCTTAATGTCCTCCTAAGACCACGCCATAGCTCAAGTGGTTAGTCGCTGGCTTCCCACCGCGGCAGCCCGGGTTTGATTCCGGGTCTGGTCAAGTGGGATTTGTGGTGGACAAAGCGGCGCTGGGGCGGGTTTTCTCAGAGTACTTCGGTTTCCCCTACCAATCTTCATTCCACCAAATTCTCCATCATCATAATTACTCAGGGCAGGCTAAAATAGGCCAATCAGTGGCCGCCGTGCCAAGTGGACCCAGTTGGATTCCACACCCCACTAAGCGAATTTAAAATTTTTAATTAATGTCCTCCTAAGAAAGTAATTATTACTAACATTTGTTTTCCACTTGTGCAAGTTCCTTTTAGTAGCCGAGATACATTGAGATCTGTTCTTTTCATTGGCCATTACTCTCCAATGAAAACAATAAGAACAACCAGTCACATCAGATCTAAAACCCCCTTCAGTCTTTCCTTCTTCCAAACAAAGTGTCCTTTCTGTTTATAGTGCTAGTATTCTTCCAGTATGAAGTGTGTCTACCCCATTCTGTGTTCATTTAATTTTTATTTGGCATTCATAATTGCTACAATAGTAACACTCGAACAAGTCAGATCATTAAATGCATCATTCTTGATATCCTATTTTCCAAATGCTTAAAGGATTAGAATTTGTCAACAATATAGTCTCACTTGGCATGGTTAACCTATAATTAAATATAACACACACCATCAAACCAGATAAACAATCAAATTAGATACAATATGTAAATTGAAATGCAAGCCAACCTCACAAGTTTATAAAGCGTATCTCAAGAGTATTACAGTAAATCCTACATATGACCATGTCAATCACTGAAAACATTAAGATACTGCAAGCAACCATTTGTTATCCATTTCCAGTTCATGAACCAACCAAATTCTCTTTATGGTGCATGAGAAATGCATGCCCTTTACAGACATGTACAGAACAGACAATTCAAATGGCACCAATGCTGTTAACCATAATGGAAAGCATATTACAAATAATTTAATCCTCTCCTCCGATAAGCCTGAACTGTTATTCTCTTTGGTCAGAACTGTGCTGATTCAAGTCTGGTCCAAGGAAACCTTCTGGATTTTCATGATCTTATCTTACCTGGGGGAATGTTTAATGAAGAAAAAACTATCATTCTTTACCTCTTTGTTCTCTCCCTTTCACCTCAGGCCTGTTATAAAAATCAGTCAGATTTAAAACATTTGCATTCATTTCAGGTTATAAACTTGTGTTGTGTTGTAACTGCACCCTTTGCCAAGCATAATTAGAATGCTAAAGTCAAGGAGGATGAGATGGGCATGGCATGTAGTATACACAGTGTGTCCAGGTTCTGTCAGAATTGTGTTCATTAAAAATACAAGACGTGAATTATTTTCAAAATTTCACTCTTTTTGTTCAAAATAGTCTCCTTCTGAATCAATACATAGCTGGAATCGGTTGAAAAGTTTTCGAAAACAGTCACTGTACTCCTTTTGTGGAAATGCATTTAAAACTGTGGTAGATTCCTTTGGATGTCCTGGTTGGTGTCGTGACGGTTTCATTTCATCACCAACTTAACTTTTGGGAACAATCAGAAATCTGCTGAAGCCAAAAATCCATCTGTGTCTAGAAAATGTGGGAGCCTCGACATCTCACATTATGGGCCTCCACAGCCTGTTAATACGGATAGCTTTACCATAAACCATAAATAATCATATTATATGAATATACTTACTTTACACAAGTAATCTTTATTTTTCAATTCTGGTTCAAAATATGCCACTTGGAAAGTGCAAAAGAATTAGCAAAGGACCAGAATTTCATGAAGTACACCTGTCAGTCATGTATGCAGATGTGTCTTATATACATTGGCCAACAAATACAATGAAGTATAACATACAAATTCTGTCAAAAGTAAATAAATACACTACTCTAAAAATAAATGTACAACAAAACTATACATATATGTTAATGCACTTCAACCACATATCTACAGAAAATCATAAAAAAATTACTAACATGATAAACATGGCTGCAGCACGATACTTAGATGATATAACCGACAAATTTAACATACGCAGGATCTGTACTGTAACCATTGCTCTTTTGCAGCAATGCCTTTGACACTGTCATGACTTCATGTTTTGCAAGGGTTCACTTTAATTACTAAGTCCTGTTATGCGGGTGAGCCAAGAGTCTTTCTCGGGGTGTACTGGTCTTCTTGGGAGGTCAGTGTAACACAAATTTTTAACCAACGTTATGTATATATAATTGCAGTAACTATTAATTATTTTTGTGCTTATTTAATTTCACATATCTGTTTATATATCACCAATTTGCAACCAGAGTTTTATGGGGACAGAGTTGTTACGTCCTTCCACTTTAAGGATCTATGCCAGAGTTCTAAAACTTATTTAAAGGCATCTGTACATTGCACTACATGTTTTGACTAACACTAGTCATCATCAATTGTTGATAATTGTTGGTGGAAACTTCTGTGCTTCTAATATTCAATGTGTAGTCCCATCTATGTGCTCATGTATTTTATGGAGCTGCATATCTTCCTAGTGTTGCGTCTAGACACTACACATAGAATATTAGAATCACAAAATGGAAGCACAGCAATTTCCACCAACAATTTTAAACAGCTGATAATGACGAATGTTGGTCAAAACATGTAGTGCAATGCACAGAACCCTTTATATAAGGTTTAAAAGACACATGATGTGTATGTAGGAAACTTTTAAATAAGTTTTAGAAGGACGTGTTGCACGTAAGACTGTGACTCAGTGACATTTATTGATTAATAAATGATATGCAACAGGATGTTACAATATATTTTATCATCACCATTAGTTAGTTAGTTATTGGAGAGGGTGGGTTTCCCCATGCACTTAGACCTGTATTGGTCCATTGTGCTTCCCTTTATGATTTCTACCAGTCTCTATATCCTACCGGTACTGGTGCTTACCATCAGTCCCGCCCAGCCAGCGAGACTGGTTCTACTAACTGAGAGGTACCTATAATGCTTCCCCCATCTACCAGAGGTATTAGAGACTGCTGTTGGGCGGGAAACGTCCGTAACTTGGCTCAGTGACCTCCTTTGGAGATATGAGGTTCTTTTACGTACCGTAAAGCTATGACACGGGACCCACGGCTTAAAATCCCTCCCGGAGGACTTGTTCCCTGAATTTTTCCGCCCTTAAAAATTCGATGACCTCCGCCGGGTATTTGAACCCGCGTGCTACAAGTCATGAGGTGGGAACATTACCTCTAGACTACGGAGGCCGCTTATCATCACCATTACTCAGATGTTATGAATTGCATGTTTTGTGCTTTATTTGTTTTTCTTTCACTTGTGCTTACTTTGTAATTGGCCCCTGGGTTGTTGAGTCAGCATGCAAATAAATAATATCTGAATTATTGCTCTTGCTGTCATCACTACCATCTCTTTTGGCAAAAGTCTTACTACTTACACATAGACTGTATGTTAAATTTATGTGCGTTATCCTCAAAGTTTTGCACTTCCACTATATTTGTAATTGTTAGCTTATAAAAACAATATTTTACATAAAATTTGTAAGAATATTTACACTCCAAAACAATATTTTACATATGTATAATTCACAGGAAGCTTTACAGTCTGTCCTCACAGAAAATTTCATACCTGCCAACAAAGGCTGATTAGTCATCAATGCCAAAATGAACAGGGAATGAGAATTTCACATGGTCACCATATTCTACAAAGGTTCATGTACCTCTCTTGCCATTATTCCTGATTGTAGAAACCTTAAAAAGTACATAATCAGGGTTGCCTGAAGTGACAATGGTCACACAAAATTTGTTATAATCAGTCAACTGGTTCACCAAAGTTGATGGTGGAAAACAGAGACAGTACAGCAATCTTGTAAGCCTACTTTTTTTTTTCACTAAAAGGCATGTAAGCTAAAAAACACACTCCCTTACGACTTAACCTTATGACCATTTATGCACAAGTCCAATATACTAACCCATGAGCTAATAGTAACTTACTGCTGGATTATGAACTTATTTTACCTAAATGTAACATTAACAATATAACATTTGTATCAATGATAATCTGCATAATAGGGCAGCAGTTTTTATGAGTTCTGCCCAGAACTCCTTATCTTCTTTCCTAATATCTTATAATTCAAATATAAACATTTAATAACATTATTTTGTTGGTGTGCATTGGATTTCTCACACTACAAAAACAAATGTACTTGAAAACAAATCTCAGGAAAATATTAAATGAATATGAAAACTTAGAAAATTACATAAACAGGATGTTCAAGGTTTATACTCTGATTTTATAGAGATTAAATCATGCAAGTTAAAGCACTGAACATGCAGTTCAAATGGAGAAATACAAGACATATTATGTCTTGGGCAGAAAATCACATAACATTACATATAAATGAGACAGTACTAACCTAGTCTTGGAGAAGCATTCCGTTCAATTCAATTCAATTCAATGGATGGTGCAAGGATGGCAATTAAATGGCTTAAGACTATCCAATGGTAGGCTTTTGTATTAATGTTGGAGAAACTCTCAATTCCATAAGAATAACAAACAGCTGTGTAACTACTAAGTGCTGCAGAAAGACACTGTACCAGGGAATTAGGAAAAGGAAATGTTACAAAAGGAAAAAACCCCATGAATCATAGAAAAACATATGGATACACAAATATGTATCCTTGCCATGCTAACAGCTAAAATAACAAAACCACCTTATGCAATTACAATGTTAAAATCCTAAATTTCTACTCTCATTAGACTGTTAATCCTTTCAGAAGTCAAATTTCTGTTGTGTACTGTTGCTTGGTGGTTCAACATGCCTGATTCGGATGTAAATATTTTCCTACAGATGTCACAAACTGTGACCACTTCATCTGTTATATTGTCTGTACTTGTTTTACTGATCTTCATCTCATCTGGCTTTTCTGTTGTTTTTAAATCAGTTGGTTTGGGTTTTTCTTTAAGCCCAAGAACTGCAAGTAAAGATGCCTTAAGACTGATATCAGAAGGGCCTTTTTCTAACGGATTATCTAATGGTGTAGCTCTTTGATTTTCCAACAAGACTTCCTTTCCTCTTGATGATTCTATAATATCAATATTGTCAGATAAACCATTTGGAATTTTATTTTTTGTTTTCCGATTTCCTGAAGAATTATCTTGCTTTAGTCTCAGGGAAACACTTTTGTTTGCTGGTTTAATATGGGCTTTTTGCATTTCATTAACTTTTGACATGGCCATGACATGTCTACAGGTACGTATGTGCTTTTTATATGGCAATAAATTTGTGAAATCCTTCTTACAATATTTACAGTTGAAGAGTTCTGTCTTATTATTCCAAATTTTGTTTAAAAAGCCTTCAGATTGTCTTTTTTCATTCAGTCCTTCAGTATCTCTTTCTTGTTTCTTTTGCAGCTTTGTTTCTGTTATGACAGTTGAATGTTGCTGGCCATAAAATGCAGAGTATTCACAGCCCTGTAATGTGTGTACATTTAAATCAAATGAAGACTGAAATTTTTGTTTACATATCCTGCAAATAAAATTCTTCTTACCTCTATGATTTCTCTCATGGTGAATTCTGTTCTTAGCATTACAAAAAACTTTTGCACAGTAACGACATGTATACTGAAATAAACAATTTGAAGATGTGAGATGGCGACTCAGTTGTGCCCTAGAAGGAAAATTTTTTGAGCAATGTTTACATATGTGCACAGCTTGCCTGGAGGCAGTAAGTGCAGGTACATCTGCCACATGAGAAGAACCTAGGTACCGACTTCGCCCATGTTTTGTGTGATCTCTACGAGCTGCCAAAAGGTCAGATTTTTTACTGAAAAGAAAATAGAAACAACAGACATTACACACTAATTTGTATTAGTTTCTATAGCCTCATCCTCTATACTTTTTACTACGATACATTTGGAAAGGTGGTAATAAAGAGCAATAAACCGGGTTCCAAAGTTCACAACATAAATAACACAACTGACACAGCACCATTAAATAGCCTAAGAGCCATCTAACTGTGTAACTTGGAATAAGGAATATGTACTTGTATATACTACTGCCATTATGAGCATTTTTTAACTTGGACAGACTTGAAAGGATTCTGACGATGGTGTATACTGTACTTCTTTTGGCTTATTTTGGACTTCATCCATCGTCTGGTATGTAAAAGACAAAAGACCACGATGTTTCGGAGACAGGATCTGTCTCCGTTTTCAGGTGGGTAGGGAAGGATAAACCTACTAACCTACTCAGTTTATCCTTCCCTACCCACCTGAAGACGGAGACAGATCCAGTCTCCGAAACGTTGTGGTCTTTTGTCTTTTACTTACCAGACGATGGATGATGTCCAAAATAAGCCAAAAGAAGTACATTTTTTAACTTGTCAGTTTGAGTAATACCAGATCCGTGTTAACATATTAGTTTATGTGGGATAATTAAACTGGACCTTATCACAAATGTGCTTACAATATGATAAGTGATCTGACAAGGATATTCCTTAAGGTAGCATTTCAAGAGCTATTTAACAGTTTCTGTTACTGCATTTAAAGTAATACCTGCAACTGTTACTTGGCATGAGAAGTAAGAAAGATTAATTGGGATGAAGTGTAGGACCTGACTTCTCTCTTCCTTTATGAAACCCTGCCTGTTTTGGCAATTTCACAAAAGAGTGCATATGAGTAAGAAGTTCATGTTTCATGTCTTTCTACATGTATACGATAGTAATGCAACAGTGAGATGAAAGCTCTGAAATTATGAAATTCTGGGTTACCACAACAATGATGGTTACACTTGGCATTAACATAAGTTATGTAGTAAGTCACAAATGAGCAAGAAATGTTTAAACTTCAGTGTTTCATTTGTACTCTGCAAGTACTGATAATATTTTTATGTGGATATTATGTATACTACATAAGGGATGGTTTTTAACTTACTATTTGTGCGTATTGTTCATGGGAGGTATCGGGGGAAGTTCATAGTATGAAAGCTTATATAACAAAGGATGACTTCTGCTGAATTCTCAATTTCAGTTTCACTAATTCAGATTTAAAAAGTCTGATTTAGCATTCATTTATCATCATCTCAAAAACACAAAACTGTCTAAAGGAAACATGATGGGTATTGAGGGCCCTTTCCCGTCAAGGTCAAGAATGGTGGAGCTACAACTCAACTCCCCTGTATGTCTCCATGGCATGGTGCTTAATTAATTTAGCATGGTGAAAATTATACCTTTAACTTTACAGAGAATTACTGGGTTTTGTCCATCATCCGGTATTCTAAAAACCAGAAAACATGTTTTGGAAACTGCATCTGTTCCATCCTCAGGTGAGAGGGGGAGACAATAACTTTGCTGGGTTCCTTAGAGAGAACTCTACTCTCATGAGGCTGGAAACAGATCCAGTTTCCAAAACGTTGTTTTCTAGTTTTTAGAATACCAGACAATGGACAAAGTTCAAAAACCAAGTAATTTTGAGTATTATACACCACTGTCAGAATCATTTAGAATCTATGTCTGTTTACAGTTTACCATGAAGTCTTCTCAGGACTTCAATGCATACTGCTACCATGAAACGTTTGAATCATATACTAATCATGCAGTTAGGTGCAGACTGATGACAGGGATGTGGCTGGGAGATTGGCAGGAAGAATGTGACAACATATGAAAGGCTAGTATAGTGGACATTTAATGTTTCACTTCACGCTCAAAGGGTTAATCTAAAGTACCTCGGTTTCTTGACAGCACGCTTTCGTTTTACAACTTTTCGGTTTCTTTTGACCTTTTTCTTTATTGCTGTGGCAACTGCATTGCTGTTCTCAACCCCTGCTGCCTCCCTGTTGACCCTATTCACATTCTCATCCTGTACTTTTCGTGGTCCACATTCTTCAGTGCCTTCCTTATGCATGTCAGTAGGTATAACACAGAAGAATGGAATTTCTTGTTCAACTGCAATTGGATCTGGATCCTGAACCTCTACCTTCAATTCTTCCGGCATCTGAAAAAAAGCCTTCAATGTATAACACTAGCACATACTTTAATTAAGAAAATTGGGAAGGTTTTCTTCTGTACTGTAGTACAGCACACAAAATTACCCACAGTGTTCTTTTAAGTTTATTAAGCTTATTTCAAAACACGAATAATGAAATGTAAATCAGTGAGTCTCGCATACTGAATTCCAACAAGATCTGTGGAAGAGTTTAAAGGATACATGGAATATTAAATTTATGGTCTTTGGAAAACTAGGCTTTACTATGGATTAATACAGTTGAGAATTGGAATTGCCAGACAACATGTAATTGAAATCTCTGACATCAAATTAAAAAAAAATCTGTGAAGTGGTTTAAGGTATTGGGACAAATATGATCATTTGCTAGGTAAACATTGACTGAAAACGAGAACAACAGAAGCAAATATGATCATTTCCTATGCAGTGGCTATGGAAACACTTTTTCCCGCAGCAATGAATACGCTTGTATAAATCAAAGTGTTGCCCTGAATTAATACAAGATTTGCAAGACAGATGTCTTTCGTGGCTGTGATTTGTCACAGTGGAAGAGAAGATGCTTGTGGTCCAGTAAGGAATGGAGCAAGTCGCAGACAGTCATTAATTGGAAGCTGTCAAAATCAAGTGTAATTGTAAAGAAGTGCCAATACATCCAGTCACCAAATCCAGGACCCACTGTTATTCGTAAAGCAAACCCCATACACATGGTAGTATATACACAGAAAAGTCAGTTTATGACCTTATGTAAGTTGAACTCCTTTATGGATCAACAGGGCTTAAGATCTGATATGCCTAAAACTTTGGAGGAAGTCTTCCATATCAAATTTCAACAATATCTGTAAAAAGTTGTGTATGGGTTACATGCAGAAGTCCATTTATATTAACTGGATGGCTGAAAATCAGAGTTTCAGTGTCTGATGAATATGTCCCACATCACATTTTAAGAAAATCTATCCAGTGGTACAATGCACTGACATAGGTCAGAAAAGAACTGAAAGACATGACCTCCACTTAAGGCAGTGTTTTTAATTTGTAAAGAATGCTTTAAAACGGTAATGTGACTACTCTGATTACATTTTTTTAAAGAACTATACCAATGTGACTACTCTGATTACATTTTTTTAAAGAACTATACCAATGTGACTACTCTGATTACATTTTTTTAAAGAACTATACCAATGTGACTACTCTGATTACATTTTTTTAAAGAACTATACCAATGTGACTACTCTGATTACATTTTTTTAAAGAACTATACCAATGTGACTACTCTGATTACATTTTTTTAAAGAACTATACCAATGTGACTACTCTGATTACATTTTTTTAAAGAACTATACCAATGTGACTACTCTGATTACATTTTTTTAAAGAACTATACCAATGTGACTACTCTGATTACATTTTTTTAAAGAACTATACCAATGTGACTACTCTGATTACATTTTTTTAAAGAACTATACCAATGTGACTACTCTGATTACATTTTTTTAAAGAACTATACCAATGTGACTACTCTGATTACATTTTTTTAAAGAACTATACCAATGTGACTACTCTGATTACATTTTTTTAAAGAACTATACCAATGTGACTACTCTGATTACATTTTTTTAAAGAACTATACCAATGTGACTACTCTGATTACATTTTTTTAAAGAACTATACCAATGTGACTACTCTGATTACATTTTTTTAAAGAACTATACCAATGTGACTACTCTGATTACATTTTTTAAAGAACTATACCAATGTGACTACTCTGATTACATTTTTTTAAAGAACTATACCAATGTGACTACTCTGATTACATTTTTTTAAAGAACTATACCAATGTGACTACTCTGATTACATTTTTTAAAAGTCTCACTACTGCACGAGATGATGATGGTATTTGGGGTGGAAAATAGATAGCAGATAAAATAAAATGATCAAATTTGCAATAAATAAAATAGTACCGATGATTACTTAATACTATGAATTAAATGTAGAAGGTATATAGTGTAAAATGCAATACAACAAAATTAACTGGACTTGTGGTTCTCACAGTATTGGTTATCTTCTGGGATATGACACTGTTTGATTTGATTTATTATTATCTCAAGCAATCCGTACAGGCAAGCCAAGTCACCACAAATATAGAAGCAGTCCATTTATATATATACTAAAATAAGATATAAAATGAAAAGTATAATATAACAAATAGATAAAATATTATGATAAAAGCAGCTGTAACTCACAACTTTGTCAACATACATACATACATACATACATACAACAAATGAACAATTTTCGAGTCGCAACAACGATGTACAGATACAAAATACGCCCATAAGTACATGTTATCACAATTACACCAATATGAACTTCATTCAGAATAAACCTTAACTATAGATTTATAGATCATTCCAGGTATTCATTTATTGAATAGAAAGATTCCCTTAAAAGGAAATTTTTAGTGATTAATCTTCAGGTTTGAAGAGTACACGAAGTAAGAAGCCTGCTCTGCTTGCTGTCTACTTCATACTGGTTTCTTGCTTGGTTTATTCTTCAGGCATGGCCACAGATGTGGTATTTTCCTCCGTAGTGTCAACTGACTTTCACCAGACTACATGGCATTGTATCCCAGAAGACAGAACTTGTGTGTGTCTGCATATGAGCATGCAAATGTGTAATCATCCAACTGCAAACTTCAATATTAGAGACATTAACTGATTGAGTTTCAAGCAACTTGGTATGAACATCATGTTACCTGACACCTCCCCATACTGCTACCTTTTAACTTTCTGTGATCAACAGTACCACATGACTGCCATGCCCACTTGTGGTGAGGGAGCAACACTAGTATTAGTACATGCAAAGTGTGATATTTTCAAAAGAATGCAGCTTTCACTTCTATTTGTTTTGTTCTGTAAACTGAAATTAACAACCTGGTGACTGCATACTATTTTCATGTAAGAATGGCAAATAATGAATAAGTCTAACTGAACCTCTGACATTTGTACAGTGACATGTTATAGTCATACAATCTACAACAAATATAAACTCCAGTGATTGAGGTTAACTTTCTCTAAGGGATCCAATAGTGTGTCTTCCCCTCCCCCCCTCACACGAGGACGGAAACAATTCCAGTTTCTGAAACACTGTGTTTTCTAGTTTCTATATACTGGACAATGGACAAAGTCTGAACACCCAGTAATTACAAATATAAACTCACTTGCAATACCACAGTGTGGGAAGCTGGAATTTGAACTGGCTCGTGAGATGTGTAGCGCTTCAAGAGCTGTTCTGAACGTACACAGGAATTTCGAAACTCTGAAAACATCTCTAACTTGTAGATACACTGGCTGCAAATTAGTTTGGGAAGAACATCTTCTCGGGTCACCTTAAAGCATACACAACAAACCAATTACTATAGTTTGCAAATAAAAGAAAAAATACAGAGATGTACATAAATTCAAGCATGAGAACTACTTTTTTGGTTGAATAGGCAACAACCTTAACAGTGGTGCTCATTAATCATGTTAAACAGTTATAGGTTTACTTAACAAGAGTATCTTGACTTGTTAGCAATGTGTATTCACACTTAACGGGGAATACAGAGTGTTTTTAACTTATGAAAATTTCAGTAAACTTAAATAGATTTTAAGAAAGCAAACTAAAACATGTTGCGATTAACACAATCAAAGGCTTTATGTAAATCACAAAAGATACCTCCAACCATCATTCTATTGTTCAACGCATTTAATATTTCATCAATCAATCTATAGGAGGCCTTTTATGTTCATGCACAAGGTCTGAAGCCAAACTGTCCTGTTAGCAAAATGTTACTGACGTCAATGTGTTGCAAAAGTCTATCACATATGACTTTTTCAAATACTTTAGAAAATGAAGTTAATAAAGAGATCAGTCTGTAATTAGTCACATCTTCTTTACCACCCTTCTTAAATAATGATTTTACAGTAGAATATTTTAAATGAGTAGGGAAGATCGCTGCTATTATAGATTTATTACAAATATAATTTAGAGGAGGACTAGAGATTTCATCATAACTGTGTGAATTCTTTAACCTTAAAGACCTGATNGTTTGTTTACTTGGCTGCATTATTGATTTATGTTAATGAAATTATCATCATCATTATTGTCGTTTGTCTGTTTGTTTGTTTACTTGCCTGCATTATTGTTTTCTTCTCCAGTGCTTGCCTGTAATTTGTCTTTGACTTTACGTTGTGTTTATCCATATTGTAATTACTTGTATCTACCCTGTGCACTGTCTGTAATTGGCCCTGCGGCTGTAGACTCGGCACATAAATAATAAAGAATTGAATTGAATTATTATTATTATTATGACCTTTCGTGTCGCTATATTTGATGTCCTGACTCATTTTCCCAGCTGCAGCCAGGAAATATTTATTAAAAGCTTCAGGATAACTTTGGTATTTACTAAATTCAATTCAATTCAATTCAATTTTATTTCATCCATGGATCATTATACATGATATGGGACAAGTCAAAGATTAATATTAATACAAAACATATGTCCCTTTAATCTATTTGTTTCTGCTTTCATAATTTTCCAGTCTGTTTTCATTTTACCACTAGAATTAATAAACTGAATATTGTACAGTGACCTTTTAGCTTCTTTAATCACACTTGCTAACATTTTACAGTATTGCTTATAGTGCCTTTTTAAGTTTATATCATTACTATCTCTACCAAGTAAATAAAGATATTTTTTATGATTACAGGAAATCCTTATACTAGTTATCTAGTGGTTTTTATTACCCCTCTCAATTACTTTTTTGAGAGGATAACTTGTATAAAATATTCTTAAATAATTATTCAGGAACATATTGAATAATGAATCCACATTCATGTTATCATTGTTGCTGGAAATGCTGTCCCAGGATTCATAACTTAATCTAATTTCAGAATCTTCTACAGAATATTTATGTATATTTGATAGTATAAATGTGATGATTCAATAATTTTGGACTTACATCCTTTACTATTAGCAATTGAGCATCATGATCTGATAACCCATCATACATGTATATCATGTATATGGGAAAGACAGTATAATTCAAAATTTTATGGATGTCTATAAATATATTCTCTATTGTCGTGTTTGATTGGTTTTAGACTCTGGTGGGGAAGTGTACTATAGCCGATAAATTGTAGGACTGTAACAAAGCATCAAGTGGTCTTTTTTTTTCACTGTCCATAAAGTAATCTATATTTACATCGCCACATATAATAAACTTCAATTCAGCTTTGTAAAGTGACTTGATAATACTATCTAATCCACTAAGAAATGAAATAAAATTACCACAAGGTGCTTTACAGACTGCCAATACACAAATATTAAAAACAGTATTCAATTTTATTTCATCCATGGCCTCAATATCTAGTTTTAGTGCACTAACCTCAATATCCTGATCTTTGCAATATCTACTCAAATTAACATTTAAATAGTTCAAATTTTTGTGAACAAAAATGCAAACCCCACCTTTTTCTACAGATTTTCTACAGTATGAGGTAGCAAGGTTATAACCATCTAAACCAATCTGATCAAGTTCACATTGTGTTCCAAGCGATAAAAATATGCGGTAAATTTGGAAACACAGAACTGATCAACTCAGCAGCTTCTTTTTTTTTCAGTAAGATCTTTTGCAGATCTTCAGAAAACTCCTCACACCCCTTGCTTTGGGAACTTATGGCTTAGGCCAAGGAAGATCTCAAGGAATATAAACTCTATTCTATTGTAATCTATTTTAACACATCCGTAATACTGTTAAAAACGCAGAGCTTTATATGGGGGTGGGGGCAAAACCCCAATTTATACACTCGACAACACTTCAACTTCCAAGCTTCTCTTTCTTGGTAATAGTCATAGGTATTAATTATGAAGCAGTGTAATGTGGTCACCTACCATAATGACAGCAAATTTGGAATGATTATGTAATATAATTCTCCTTCAGAAGCTAATATGTTAATATATCCCTGGCTTCTCGCAAAACATCAAATTAAAATTCATCAATCCAGTATAGCTGTGATGGTAGTATATAGATATATACTCATTCCAAGATACTCGAGTGATGCTTCACATTTGGTGTTTGGGAGGAAGCGGTTGCAATGGCCTACAGTGTGGTACTATCCCGGCATCCGCCTGGTAAACAATTTTACCAAATCAACATGTTGATTCAACTAAGTTGAATGAATTTATTATGTAATGTGTTTTTATTACAATTTTAACTTATTTTATACAATTTATACAATTAAACATGGTATTGTGTTATGTATATTTTATGTTGACTAGTTCCATTGTTGGAGCATTTGTTGAAGATGTCCAGTGGTGTTGGCCTGTAATTGGATTTGCTTGAATGCAATAAATACAATACAATACAATGTACCCCTCATGTGAGTTTTATATGCCCGGCAACTGATAAGTGCGACACATTATGTCCTTGTTGCAGAGGTAAACCGCACGTTACATGCAACACAAGCCGCGTATTAAGGTGCAATGAACTTAATGCTGTGAAAAAACAAACAAAACCTCGTATCCACGAAGCATAACTACATCTGTCACTTCACTTACCGAAACGGGTAAGCACATTTCTATTTTCAGTGGTATTCCCTGAAGTTCCCCCTCTAGGCTAAAAATCGGAAAGAGTTTGCTGCTTCTCCACAAACACAACCTGCAAATATCTTCGGAAAATATCAAACCCTCCATTGCGTTATCGTTGTTACACAACATCTACAAACAATTACGACAGCAGACACGGAAGTTAATGTTTTGCGTCTCCTGTCAGTACGGAAACCAGCGACTCACGAACCATAATATTCAAACATGCCTCTACATAAAGTTACTGTCATTACTAACACAGGAAGCAAACAAAACTAATAACTTCTTGCGCCAAGTAAGTGACATAATCAGTTCCAATGGTAACAACCGTAACAACCAACATGACAATCATATATTTCTCTTCGAAGGCATTGATGGTGCATCCTTAAGTAATGACCGTTTATGGGTATTCTAAATACATACATCACACTTCAAATAGTGAGATGGTCGTTTGCGCTCATCGTGTTATGGTAGGCGTGATGTACAGATTAATATTTGTGCCAACACTTTCATTTTCCTGGTACAGGAATATAATTAACAACAGGACATAAGCTACGGAATGATCACACGTCGATGTATGTAGTCTCTGGTATGGAGTATATTAAACGCAGTGTTTAGAAAAGGAAGTATGCTAAAGACATAGAAGTAAACCTAAAAATGCTCATAACTTGCATACTATGACGGAGAAGACAGTCGGCTGTTAACTAAATTATGTTATTTAGACTAATAAGTTTCACAGATAACACACGTGGTTATCGAAACAGTATTCTCGGAACAAATTCAATTGAATTTATTTTTGTTCATCAGATCTACATTTGGCGATGGCGCCTCCAGATATAGAACACATCAAAGACCAAGTTACTATAAAATCAATCCAGAGGACAACGTCATAAGGATATTACAATTTATATACAACAGTTGTTGCAATAATTATTGATGCAAGTAAATTTACTGTCATTGTCAACACTATGCTCCACGGTTCCACACTGAAATACAATTAAAACCTTAAGGACAATGTTATAATTAAATACAACATGCATATAACACTTGCACTGCAACTTATTATAATAAAATACATACTAACATTGTCTATAATAGAAAAAAAGCACATCCAGAGAATTATAGGTATCATACAATAAAAGTTTTTTAAAAATGACTAGTGTTGTTTTATTTATCTGTAATTAACACAATCATCCCCTGTTTTCCATTTATAATACTCATCTAAAAAAAAAAATTTTTAAGGGAATATTTGAATTTATTTAAGTTTTGCGCTGAATTTTTTATACTATGTGGTAATTTATTAAATATTTTAATCCAAGTGTAAGATACTCCCTTTTGAGCCCTAGTTGATTTATATATTTATAAACTGATTGATTGTCACTACATTGAGTGACCAAAGAATATCAACATACTGGGATAAGTAGACTATTGTATTATCTCCCATTATGTGTTTGATTAGTCTTCATTCTAGTTCTTATGAGCAACAACTTTCTGCAATTATACTTGAAATAGGTAAGCCCACTGCTATTCCTTGATTAATTTACACAGTGTGTTCCACACTGAAAATATTTCAGAAGTAATACTGTTTCAAATACTGTTATTACTTCTATACATATTTAATTAGTATAACTTTCTTTTATAGTTTATTGGCAACTTTGATTTATGATATATTTGTTCTTTAGAATTATAACTGGCATTGTAGGTCTGTGTAATTTTAACTGCTCGACAAGGTTGGGTGTTGTGGGACTTATCTACATCATTTATCTTCTTTGTCAAGGATTAATTTCTTTACATGTTTTTAAAGTATAGACATGGATATGCTTTTGCATTTCTTTGAGGACAGTATAATTGCCATTTACTAATTTGATTTTCACATATAAATTTTTGTTCCAAGATGGAGAAGTTGGTAAGCATAGTAAAATGTTTCACTTCTTTGTAATACACTGCCCTAGTATATTAATAATTTAGTTAATTTCAATAAGACTTACTTACTTTACTGTTCTATGATTGCTGTGGTCCTATGTCATTCCACTGCTGATAAAGAGAGCTTGCACTTAAGTACTAGGTTGAAATTTCAGCGAGTAGTGAGCAGTTGTGTAACCTATGGTAGTGAGTGAGGTCCGAATGCAAACAATCCCTTTTTATATAAGAGCTGGGTGGGAGTATGTGTACATGTACAAAGACAGGAAGTTGGGTTGGAATCTCTGGGTCTAGAATTCTCTCCAATTTCTGGAATGCTCTAGAATATTTAAGGAAATATGAAAAAAATTAAATTTAAGAATGAAGGATGAACTGCGACTTGAACGGGGGGCACACAGTAGCATAGTTGGTTGAGGCACTATGCTACAAGCTGGAAGGTCATGGGTTCAAATCCCGATGAGGTCAATGGATTTTTTCAATTGACATAATCCATCCAGCTGCAGTATGCCCTGGGGTTGACACACCTCTAACAGAAATGAGTACCAGGAATTAATTAAATAATTAAAGCGTGGCCAGTGCGTAAGGCTGACAACATTACCGCCATCTTTGAGCTGATTGTCTAGATAATGTGGGACCCTCAACGTCTCACAACCCTATGGGCCTTCATGGCCTGTTACAGGGATAGCTTTACTTTTTACTTTACTTTTACTGTGACTTGAACCATCAAACTTTGGGTTCATTACACGATGCACTAAGTCTTCTCAGCCTGCTGTGTCTTCATTGGTTACCTGGTAACAGCTTCCACGTTCATATCCTTACTGTCTGGCGACTGTCTCACAACTAACTCGGTGTTGCTGAACAGTGACTTAAACAATAGGGTCTCCTCCACCAGGTGTGAATGCCTCACAACAGCCTCAGACTCAGACTGGTTGGCTTCAGATAGGTTGTCCCACTGGTCCTTATGATGAACCCAACAGAAAACATCTTTTTTTACAGCTGCAATAGTGCAGTCACAGTGCTGCTGGAAGGGGTTGCACAGAAAACACTGCCTCTGACAGGTCTTCTATTGTTGTATGCATGTGTTGCTAAACTGATGTGGTATTTACTGTGCCATACCTAGTAATGGATGTCTCTTCATGTTAAATTATTCTGGCTTTCAGAGGACATGCCACAATATACTGGTTCCCACTGGACATACTTATGGATATATTGGCGAAGGCAATAATTAAAAATGTCAAAAATCAAACTTCTGCCAGCTAGCCTGTAACTTGTCACTTTATTAAGTCAGCCATTACAGCTCCACCTCAAAAACATGCAACAGTTTCTTAATGAAACCAATCCCTTTAGAGGACCTGAAACTGAGAAATGAAAGGTGAGATCAAGGCTGTACCTGCACAGTGGATCATAATAGCCATGTTCAGACTTCTGTTATTATTCCATGTAATAACCAGATTTAATAAAAAATATTGTGAATGTTAAGACAGCAGAATTTTAGACAAATATGTGATATGATGTGTGATATGATATGAAATCAATAAAACTGAGCCATACATATGACTTTCTTGCATTTGCTCTTGCAGAAATAAATGAAACATTAAGCTGATTACTGTTTTCTTTAGAGCAGGTCATAACTGCATACTACTGTCATGCCTTCCTTAGAGAGGCAAAATGAAATCATTCTAGTGTCAGATCTAAGAAGGTGCAAAGGGGGCATTCAGGTAAAGCTCTATGATGGAGAAAAGCAGTCTGATCCACTCTATGGGTTTAACCTAGGGCGTGGTAAAGAAAAACATATCAAACTCCAGCCATCCAGTCTGCAACCTACCTCTTTATTGACTGAACTACAATGGCTCATAACCTGAAAAAGGCCCAAAAATTCAGCAGTCTCTATGTATTGGACCTGCTGTCTAATCTTGGCCCAGCCAATGGGATGCATATATATAGATGATCTGTCTCCCCTAACGATTACAATGAATTCCTGTGCAAAGGAAAGATTGCAGTCACTGGTATTTTCAACAGAACAGAAGCTCATATTAATCACCTACCAATTTTTGCATCATAACTCCATGTTGAATTAAACACATGATCATCAGTAAATGGGTCCCCTCATATAAAACAATGCTTTAGTCTATCTTGCCTACTTCATAACATAATTTTTAAATATAAATAATAATTTTCATTAGACAATTTATGAATAGTAATCAAGGACAGTCCAATAAATTTAACAAATTACAAAACAGCATAGCTGATAAAACATTCATTCACTTTCTGTCACCGTCTTTAGGGTACGTTTCTTCTTCTTCCTAACATTAAATAATACATTGTCACAACTGTCTTCTTCATATTCATTCATTGAGTATAAGTGTCTGTCTTTGTGTGATGCCAAGGCTACTAGTCTGGTGCACCTAACACCACAGATATCACATATATGTGATCCAGAACTAGCTGAACTAGTGTCAACTTCACTGCCATTATCTTTATGTCCAGTTTCAGCACTTTTTGTTTCAGATGTTACTCTCTGTAATTCAGACAATAATTTAGAAGATGCAGAAAATGTATGTTCATTTAAAGTGCTTCCATCACTGCTTCCTTTCGCATATTCAAGGACATTCTTTTCGGTGGTATTTTGCCCTTCTGCCTGACCCTCAGAGGTGCCTTTCCCTTCTGTCTTGTCCTCAGATGTCATTTCCTCTGGTACTTTGTTCTTAGAGGCCTCTTCCCCTAGTGTCTTTTCCTCAGGGTTTTTTCCCCCAAGTTCCACTTCTGTGGGTGATACTGAGAAAAGTCTGTTGACCTTGCACATATGCCTGTTTGCACTTCTTGCAGAAGTAAATGAACCTTCACAAAAAGAACATGTGTAAATGTTGCACATTCCAGGAATTTTGGTCATTACAACATGTGGCACAAGTGCTTCCTTTGGGTCATTTCCATTCTCTCCTTCTACAGACTTATCAACAGCATCTGTTAAATCTATTACATCTAAGAATGAGTTTGGAGGCTTATAAAGTACAAATTCAACATCAGAGTTATCACTATCTAAATTATCATTGTTGCCTGCAACTTGGGATTTTGGGCCAGATTTGTGCTTCACTTTGTTTTCCTGTTCTGGTTCTTTAGCTTCTGATCTGAGATTTAACATGTCACTTATACTTGCCTGCTGGGCCCTAACATGACACTTTGGCCCAGGTTTACGATATTCCGCGCTTCGTTCTTTATTGGAATCTTCAGACATGACAGTTCTAAAACCATTAACTTGATTGTTATGAGGAGATCTGAAATGATTTTGAGTTTTCTTTCTTTTTTTTGACTTCTGAACACTACCTGAAGAGTTGTTACGTTTTCTTGATTCAGTTCTTGATGTTTCAGTTTTTGTATCTGGTGCCATTTTCTCACTTACCCCTAAATCAGGAAACCTGCAAGAAAATGCAACATATGATACATACAGATGCACAATGTCACATAAAAAAAAAAAAACAAACAAACAAAGAAAAAAGTTGATGTTTCGTGTATGCTGAAGAGAGGCCTAGCACCAAGGTAAACGATGTACTCAAAAACTGTGAAAGAGATTGCTCATCACTAGGCCCATGGGATCATGTAGTAATTATGGGAGGTGTCACAGTTACTGCCCTAATCTGTACAAATGTTTTTCTCAATATACCAACTAGACATGATCTGATAAAAGAATCAGTAGTCAATTAGGAAATTTGGGAAGCAAATGTGGACATAAAGAAGATACGTAAAAGATTCTGAAATGTAAGAGCCCTGGACTTGAGCAACGTAAGTAGAGCTTATCATACAAGGCATGAACAGCACCTAAACAGAATAGGTAAAGAGCAAATTACTCAAGAAATAAGTAAAATAACAGGCAATAACAACAACAAAAATTCAAACGTAATCAAATCAGGGAAACTAATAAAAAAGGCTAGATCCAAAATGCACCAGTCATTACATAATAAAAAAACAATGAAAGCAAAGGCTTAAAATAATACATCAAAATGCACAATACATCAGAAACAAAACTGAGTTATTTACAGCATTCCTTCAAACTAACCCCCCCTCCCCAACATATCTTGGCTGTTTCTGAGCATGATCTTAAAGATGATGACATAATTCAATGTATATTAGAAGGTTATACTGTAGTTNAGCTACCAAGTTTTTGCTGCCCACAGATCCAGTCGTTTGCGCCGCACAGCATCACGAAGGTGACGAAGGACCCCCTGGTAGTATTCCTTTGTGATGGTTTGGCCTTGTGGTGCGTACTCATGATGCACAACCCCACAGGAGTCGAAGAAAACGGCCAACATGACCTTGACATTGCTGCGGATCTGCCGTGCTTTTTTTGGCCTCGGGGATGTCAGATGTTTCCACTGTGACAACTGCATCTTGGTTTCCGGGTCGTACCCATAAACCCACGACTCATTGCCTGTGATCATGGTGTTCAGAAAGTTGGGGTTACTGTTTGCATTGTCCAGCATGTCCTGTGCAATTTCCAGATGGCGTCGCTTCTGCTCCATTGTTAGCAGTTTTGGTACAAATTTCGCAAATCCTCTGGCAAAATTGAATGTACCAATCCAATGCTCATTCGCAAGTTCTCAGACTGTGATACGACAGTCCTCCATGACCAAAGTCCGCACTTGCTCGATAACATTCTCATTTCGGCTTCAAAATTGTATTCAATTGATGTGGTTTCATCCTGAGAATTTTCTTTGGAACAACCACTGCATAGATTGAGGAGTAGCTGTACTGCCTATGGCTCCAGGCTTAAGGGACATTTGTACAGATGGACAGACATGACAGAACTAATGTCCTATTAAAGTAAACATAAGTAACAAAGTTGAAAGTGGAACACAAATTGATGACTTTAAATCTGGCAACTTCTGATTTTTCTGTATTACTGTATTTACATATATGGCTACTAAATATGCAGAGATGCACTTCAGAATCACTGTGGCCTCTGAGAATCAGCGATATAGAAAATTGGAAAGGTACATGTCTTTACTGTAGGCATGGCAGGCAAGTAGCCTTGGAACCTTCAGCACTATTATTCTGAGGTCCTCTGTCAAAACTCTGATAAAAGTTGTTGTAACTAAATCAAATGTGTACATTAGGAATTAAAAATCAACAATTTAAGAACGAGGAGCTAAACAAGCAACCAACAAAGCAATAGAAACTAGAGTGAGAATGTGCCCCCATTAGCATCTAGCAATGAAACATTCTTGCACACTTGTTTGACTTTCCCTGACCATAGGAGGTCGACGCTTGTGTCTCATGTATATATGAAGCTCAATCACAACAGCATGATGTCACAGCTGAGCAGTTGGCACCCAGACTTCATACATGGAGGTATCAGACTATTTTCTCAGTCACAAAACCTGCTATCAAGAGACTCATGTTTTCCATCATTTTCCTCAGTCAAGCCAGTTGAATATGCCTTAAAATAAGCTATACTCACTTTGATATACATGCAAATTCATGACTGAAAATGATTCTTACCCTGCATCATGATCATCTGTGCTGGTGTCTGAGGTTGCTGCCTCTGACCCTTCTGGCAGGAAGTACTCACCCTGCTCAGAGTTAAGAAATACAATGTTTGCAGGAGAAGCTGCTGAAGTATGCTGCAAATTTTCGGCATGTACATTAGTATATAAATTATTGGGCACTGGATTTGTTGCTGAGATGTCTTGACTGAGCTTGACAATGGGTGGTACTGGTGGCGTTGAAGGTAGTGGTTGCAGTGGCTGCAGTGTAAGTGGTAGCTCTGGTGACAGCAGTGGTGGGGGTGGTGACGTAGATGATGGCATATTTGGTCTTTCTTGCTTGATTTCCACATTTGTCTGTGAATACATAAGAACAGTATAGAGACAACTTTACCTTATGGTAACCATCTCTTTGTACAGCTCTAGAATGTACGCATACAAAATTGAATGTGATGGTGCTGAATTTGTGTTTTATTTACACTTACTATACAAAATTACATAATAAAGTAAACTAGTAAATAGCTCATTTTTTCAGAGAAATATAGAATTATCTAAATGGAGTAACTATTTTCTTCAATGCCACTACTATAATACAGATGTCAGTGAATGGTGCATCAAAATGCTCATGACATTACTTGCTGATTTGGCACTATGGAGCCAGAGTGTGAAGGCTGTCACTAGACAAATATTTACCCTTTAAAAAAGGGCTGTTAAGATATACAGCAGGGTTAAAACAAAGGGAATCAGGTAGAGACAGTTTTAGGCAACTAAAAATATTAACAATGCATTCGAAAAACAGTTAAGAAACCATCTTATATGCAAAAGAAATGGATAAATGCACTGAAAATATACAGATATATATATATATATATGACACAATAAATAATAATGATTATCAAAAATATGTACATAATTTAGAATTTAATAAGAGTAAACCATCAGTAGCAGGTTG